CCTCCACATCTTGGCTGCCACAACAGGACTTTTGTCTCCTCTCTCTGTCTGCATCCCCATCCCCAGTGATGGGTCCAAAGCCTGTCCTGGAGTATCTGCTGTACCTGCCCCCTGTTAGTCCTCCCACCAGCTGCCCGGTCACGGGGTTGAATCCCAGCAGTTTCAGCAACACGTGCATTATTTAGTGGCAGATTTGTCTCCCGTAACTGGGGAGGAGAAGCTGCCCTGTCCCTCCAGCAAGAGGGCAAATCCACTGAAGTGCTGTGGAGCCATGTGAGCAGCACAGGTGGGCAGTGCCCCCGCTCCCTCCCCACACTGGTACCTGGACGTGGTGCGTGCTGGGGTCGTACACGCCCCTGCGCATCGCTATGAGCTTGGCGTGTTCATCCACCACATCCTCCCGCTCCTCAGCAAACGCCAGGATCATGCTGAACCGGGGCAGGTAGAGCAGGGCTGGAATGCGATAGCTCCAGGTACCGTTCCGGAACAACGTCTCTTGCTCCAAGACAGGGAACGAAGCCATTGCGCTGGAGGGAAGACAAAGCACATTGCATTTTGTCCCAGCAAAATGTGATGGGGCGCTGCTTTTTGCTCTCCTTGCTCAGCGGGGCCTGTCCTGCATTGAAACAATTTCTGCTACTTTCAGCTCTGCCTTTTTCTTCTGCTTGTCCAAAGAGAACCTGTATGTAGCAGAGTAGCTGGAACTGAGGCCAGACTTACCCCAGAAGCAGCCTGGTTGATATGGCTAGAGTGTTGCAAGGCAAGTGCACTAAATACAGTTAATAAAAAAGCTGTGCTTTGTTTTGTCTTTTTAATTAAATTCACAGGCCTGGACTTTTGTGGGTTTACTCTGTAATTCAGAAGACTGTTGATAATAAGACATTGTAGTACTTGCCCTCAGAAGACCATTAACATCTCTGGTGATGGTGTATCCAAAACCTGGCACAGAACTTCTGCTTTGCTAAATATGAGTTTAAAATTTCATATAAATGACACACTGAGGCAATCCCTGACCTCAGCTGCGCCCCAGCTTGGGGATGCCAAGCACTGAGCACGAATAAAGAAAGGAAGAGAACTTCCCTCCTTCAGTAAGGTTAAAGAACAGTCTGAGTGGTGTCCCATAGCTTTGGGTGGCACTTCTGACCAGGTGAAAACCTTGTCCTCTTTACAGTGACTTAAAGGCAACGTTATGAAGGAAAGCAAACATGAGGGAGAATTTAAGGAAGCTGCCTCTGTGTACCTGGTCTGTGCTATGCCCCACACAGTTTCTGTTCCTCTCCCAAGACCCACTCGGCCCACTGGCCTCTTGCACTGAGCTCCTCCTGTGAGCCAACCTACCGTGGCAAAAACCCGGTGGGCTTGAGGGAATTACCTCTGAGCGGATGGGGGCAAAAATAAGAAAAAAAAAAAAGAAAAAGAGAGAAGGAAAATACTTGTCTCTGACATGATACACCAGAAACTGAAGGCTTGGATATCCCTTGCTCAGCAGGGAAGGGGAGAAGAAAAAAAAAGAAAAATAAATATTAAAAAAAATCAAGCCTTAGATCTCTGACGCATCGAGTGGGTAGGATGGCAGGGAGAAGATGACAATACACTATGAGTAAGAAATTCAAATGCCTCCTACCTCAGCTGAGGCAAGACTTGCTGCACTCTTCATTGAGGATTCTCCTATTTATCCAAGTCTTGGAAAGTGCTATAGTAGCTATTGGACATGGATCAGATCCTCGTGTTTTTGAAGGCTCCCTTGATAATTCAGGACCAGCTGTGGAGGCAGCTGCAGAGTGCATGTACCTACCTGGAGAATAGTTTGCACTCTTCCATATTTAAGAGGAAAGCTTGTATTAGCCAGTGTAACTAACCTTGACTAGGTCCACAGTTTGTTTAAATTGTTTTGTTTTGCAGTGCTGATTCCTGAGTTAGGACAGCACAGATAGGCTGAGTTCATCCTCCTCAGACAGCACCATCACATTACACTCTCTCCAGATCCATAGCCAGACAGGGAGTGTTTCCTTGCTTTCGCCTTGCAGCTGCTATAAATACCAGTGAGATCTCTGAACTCACAGCATTGCTCAGAAGGGTCTGAACTGCACTGTTTGAGCTAAAGCGACCTGTACAGACTCCAGCCCCACTGCCACTCAGATCCAAAGCCACTGCAGAGGGAAGTCCATCTCCCAGGAGCAGCTGCTCCCTCCTCACTGTCACCAACTGTCACCTCACCGCTGCTGCACTAAATGTTTCCAGAATTAGATCCCAGCTATCCAGGCAGTAACATGAAGGAAGCAGGAAGACCTTCCTAGAACAAATAGCTGTGCTGTTCACTACTTCCCAGCATGGCTGTGGCTATTTATACAGCCCACAGCCGTGGCTGTGTGCTCATGGCTCCTGAAACAGAACTCACCAGCGTGCTTCCAGACTATTTAAAGGGAGATTATTTAAAGGGAATTAGTCAGCCTGTCTAGTGCAGCACAGGTTCCCTGGCGTTCCTGCTCATGGTACCGCAGTCTGCTGTTCTGATACTGCAGTCCTGCTTCAGGGTAGAGCAAGAGGGAAGGAAAAGAACAAAAAAAAAATATAAAGGAGAGGTAGAAAGAGAAGGAGAGGTCTGGGCCATGAAGCCCTTGATGGAAATCCAGACCAGTGCCACAGGAGGCTGTGCTGCACCTGAGTCCCTCCCACGTGAGCCTGTCACCTGCAGACACCTCTGCCCACACTCTCAGCCCTCCATGACACAGTCAATGTGAGTGTCACAACACTCTTCCCCTTATTGCCAAAAGGGGATTGAGGAACTCACTGAACTGGGAATAGCTGCCATAGAAACAAGCCTGAGGCTCCTGGACACAGCACCCGCAACTATAATCAAGGAAAATACTGGAACCAAGGGACTTCTCCATCTATCCAGAGACTAAAGAGAGGTATGTGTGAGTGTGTGTGTATATACACACATATACACACACCTGTATATGTGCTCCCTACACACAGTGTGGCTCTTATGGCTGGATGCATGTATATACACACTGTGTATCCATCTGCAGAGAAACTCTTCCATCCTTTTTTAAACACAGTTAAAGTCAGTATTCAGCTTCTTCTGCCTTCTGCCTCGTGGATCCTCGAGCAGAGATTGAGTCATAACAGTTTGAGTTTCACACAGAATCCAAAATGCAGGATCTTTAAATAAAGTTCTTAATATTTATATATTAAAGAAAAAAATAGTGCTGGCTTTAGTTACTTCTCCAGCCAACTGAAAGGAATTGATTTTTCTCTTGACCTCTACCCATTTTCAAAGGCAAACCCACTAACTAGACCCTCCTGAATAAAAGAGAAGTAAAATTGGCAAATCGTTGACAGGACAGCCACAGGAAGAATGTTCCAAAGTTCATCCTCCAGCACTGCAGGAATTCAAATCAGACACACCAGTCCCTCCAAGGCTAAATTGCCAGAGGATGCACATGTCCATGATGCTACTCTGCTCCTAAACCCTACTGAAATAGCACTGCCTGGCCTGCAAGGAAGAAGAGAATATTGCAGGCAGCACGACCCAAGGACAATGGCAAAGTTTGTAGATCACAGCAGTGTCTTTTGAAATGCCAAGAGCTATAACTGGGAAAAAAAGAAAAAGATAAACTTCTGGAACACAAAGGCCTGAAACACAAGCAGGATACTGGAGAGTTGTACACAAGAAGACAAAAATTGCTCAGATCTGCATCAACTCAGTGACCCTGGAGAGAAGAGTTAGCTGTACTTTTTTGAGGTAAAAGAGTGAGAAAGGTAAGTTTTTCCTAGGAGAAAAGAACATAGCTCCTCACCTCTTCCCAGATGAGAGAGGTGCTGGTGAGGAGAAGGGAAATTTATCTTGTAGCCATTAAGCCAATATTCCCTTCGTCATTTTGGTATTTACTGGAGTGTTTAATTCATTTCCCAGGCTTATCCCTGCCAAGTGTCCGGTTCAGGGAGAATGATGTTTACCTGCAATTCCTCTCCAAGGCACAAGGGAAGCTGCTGCACCGAGATCCAGTACCTCACCTCCGGGCAGGACCAGGCAGACAGGGAAGGATGAGCACAGTGCAAACACTAAGAGAAGGGGGAGTTAAACTGGAGGAAGCCATTACTCATAGTTTGCAAGTTACACAGCTGTAATGATTTCCAAAGCAGAGACTGTTTCCAGCACACCAGAAGAGTCAAAAAAAAATAACAGTTGTCAACAAATGAATCTGTGCTGGATCTAATGCCTGGAAGGAGCCCAAGTGGTGGTAAAGGGATAGGTGCTGGCAGACTCCAGGAGAGGGTACTTGTTCCTTCCTCATCTGTCCTTCAGGGCAGCTCACATGGACTTGTCTATAGAGCAGGATGAGCCCTTGCATGTTTATTTGCTTTATCCTTCTCCAAGTGACTAAAAACGATAACATTTCCACTGGCCTCAGCTTCTGTACAGACCTGTTCTTAACATGTTCAGATCCAAGCTGAAATGACAGCGTGTCTTTAAAAACAAACCAGCAGAGATGAGGTAATAAGCTGAACTCTATCCCTTGGTCTCCATCAGAGAGCTCTACACTCTGTGCAGCAGGCAGCTTGTTCTTGAATGATTTTAGATAGGTCCCAAAAAAACAGACAACCCATTCAGGGAGGGGTTGGGGGTAAAAACACAAACACAAAACCCAGGCAGAGCCAAATACAAAACCCAACTAAAACTCTGCTTTGCAAGGTAAGCACAAGAACCCAAGATGAGTTGTTCTGTACTCAACATCAGACCTGGATTCACAGTGTTTTCCAAATGTGTAAAGCATTTCAACTAATGCTGAAACACATTCTCTGTTTCACTTAAAGGAAAATAAGGCATTTCCACCGGGATATTGCATAGAGGGCTCCCAGGAGTAGCCATGTTCCAGTTGTATAGGACTAAGAAACAGAAGACCCGGTTTGCTTCTCGAATCCTTGCTCCACAGGGTATTCCTGTGTGGAAGCCCTTCCTCCCTGCTGAACAGCCTGGCTGTGCCTGTTTCTGCCACAGCCCAGCACTGGAGTGCTCCATCCCCAGCCTGCTTGTGCCCTTAGACCAGATCCCACACTAAATCTAGGCTATAGAGATTCATAACAAGCAGGCAACACACATTTATTTAGTCCAATAAATCGCCCTCAATGTAAAGTCAGAAAGACCTTATCAGTGAAACTGTAAAACAATAAACCTTAAACAAACTAAACCATTCAGAATTCAAAACTGAAAAAGACACAAAACTGGAATTACTTTAATCCAGCAGCCAACTGGATTAAACTTTTTAACCACACTAGAAACAGAAAGTTTCTCTTGTGGTAAAAACTTCATATCACATTTACATGGGGATTTTCAGGCTCCCCACTACATGGTTTCCTAAACAATCGACCAAGTTCTGTTTTCAAACTGATGTGGCTCAGGCTGGCAGTAGCTCCTGTGCCCTAGAGTGGAGGTTTTCTTAGCAATAGGGAGGAATTACATGAAGCAGTAGTATTTTTCTTAAAATATGTTTCGTGGAGGAATACACAAACTGCACTCCTA